AATAATAAAATAAACAAACAAGTCTTTTAAAAGGAAAATAAATAATAAATAAATAAATCAGCGAAAACGCTAAATGTAGGACCATAAATATTGAATGCAGTTTGGACGAAAATTGCATAAAGGGCAGTATAGTACTTTCCTCTCTTCGGGGTATGCCTAAGAATAATGTCCGCTTGAGTTTGTCCCTAGTTTATTAGGCACCTAAGGGTGTATATAAAATAAGCCCATAATTTTACTTAATTTTTATTATTTGTTTTGGTCAAAGGACCTACACCTATATTCACCAAACCATTAGGATCTTCACCCATAACTTCAAAAAATAAAACAGCTAGCAAATTTCTTCTAATTTCTATTTTTCTTCAGATGATTTAACTTATAACTATTGGGGGAGTTGATTAGTGCTAATCATTAGAGTTTCTATTTATAAATTTGAATAAGACTATAAAACTCTATGATAAAGCAATAATATAATTGGGCTATAGGAGACCCAATACAAATTTTCTCAAAAAAAATATAAGAGCTCGTTTTTTACATATTTGTGGGACAATTTTTTTAAAAAAATATGAAACTTATCATACATCAAAAAATTGATCCATTATTTAATTAATTTATTTGTTTAACAAATCAAACTAGAGCTCATTGAGTGGCTTTCATTTGTTCAAAACCTCAAATAGATATTTTCTTTTACAGACCAATATTTTTCTTTATATTAACTAAAAATACTTAAAACAACTTATGTTGTTTCTAAGATTTTAATTTAAGTATTAATCTATACTAATAATAAAATTTGAAAGAGCTATCGCTATATATTTACATGAATATTTTGAGATCTTAAAATGAAGTTCGGTTGTGCGATGTTAAAGGTATAATGAAACGGATTATAAGTAATACACTCATACTCAATGTCGCTACTATGTTTTCAAATATATTTAATTTTACATACCGTAAAGTATTTCCATATATTCTCTAAGACAATGTATTTCCATATATTTTTGATACATCCATAGATTGTTTATATCTCTTTAGATTTAAAACAAGGGCGAATGGCAAAAAGGCTCATCACATGGGACTTAAATGCATTTTGGTCCTCAAAAAAAACAGTCTCTCAATTAAACTCATCCCCATGTCTTTAGTCTAAAATACCCTCAATAATATAATTCTTATCAATTCCACCCATTATGCTCTAACTTCCTTAATATTACACATTGACCCCGGATTTAAACAAATATATTACATTAACCCCCAAAACTTTTTTTTTTCAGAAAATTTTTTTTTTTCTGAAATGTTTTCTCCGGCCATATTCCGGCGTTGACTTTTTTTTTTTCAAAACTTTTTTTTTCCTGAAATTTTTTTCCGGCCGGTCAACCACCGTTGATCGCCGGTCTCCGTCGTTGACTTTTTTTTTCTTTTATAATTTTGTTTTTTCTTACAAAAAATATTTTAATTAATATTACTGTTTTGGCTACTAAATTACTGTCTCGGACAGTAATATTACTGTTTGGGACAATAATATTATGAATATTATTTTCCCGAACAGTAATACTATTAATATTATTGTCTAAGACAGTTAAATTACTGTTGGAGACAGTAATTTAGCATCCAAGGCAGTAATATTAATTAAAATAATTTTTTTAAGGAAAAAAATTAAAAAAAAAAAAAAGAAAAAAAAAGTCAATTAACAGTTAAATTACTGTCTCCGACAGTTAAATAACTGCTGGAGACAGTAATTTAGCAACGAATACAGTAATATTAATTAAAAAAAAATTTAAGAATAGAAAAGTCAATTAACAGTTAAATTACTGTCTCTGACTGTTAAATAACTGCTGGAGACAGTAATTTAGCAACGAATACAGTAATATTAATTAAAATATTTTTGAAGAAAAAAAAAAAAAGAGTCAATTAACAGTTAAATTACTGTCTCCGACAGTTAAATAACTGCCGGAGACAGTAATTTAGCAGCCAAGACAGTAATATTAATTAAAATATTTTTTTTAAGAAAAAAAAAAAAAAAAAAAGTCAACGTCGGAGACCCGGCGGTCAACGGCAGTTGACCAGCCGGAAAAAGATTTCAGGGAAAAAAATGTTTTCAAAAGAAAAAAAAAAAAAAAAAAAAAAAAAAAAAAAAAAAAAAGTCAACGCCGGAGACCGGCGGTCTCCGGTGGTGGCGGATCAAAATTGGGGTCAAAATTGAAATTAGGGTTAAAATTGGTTAATTGATGAAATTGGGCTAAATTGGGATGTAAATCATGAAATTGGAGTTAAATTGGGTTTCAATGAATTGGGGGTAATTTTAGTATATATAGAAGGATTTTCCTTATTTGCAAATAAGTTTGAATGGGTTAGATTTATTTAAAAGACAAAAAAGTTGGATGTCCCTGTTTAATTAAGTGCCCTTATGATGGGCCTATTTGCCATTACCCTTAAAACAAAGTTGATTTATATTTTTAGATTTATAACTAGGACTTCTTTCAGTAGTAATATTTTTAGGTATTGAGATTATATTTTTTGTTTGCGTATATAATTATGGAAATATTAGTTTCTTATCCGTCAAAACTAATTTGTGTAGCTTAATTTATGGCGGATATTTTGTATTTACATAAAGTTCTAGCCTGCATATTCCTATTTATATTATGTGGAAATATGCAATAGCTCCTAAAATGGAAAATATTTTGAATTAAACCCAGATTTTTAAAGACTTTTCCGACACTCAAATTTCATTCTTAATTAGTGAGATCCCCTGGACAAGTGTGAGAAGACAAATATACCCTCAACTACTATAACCGTAGTTATTTGCCCACCACTATCACTTTCATCTTCTCCACCTATCCACCTATCCACCGACATTCCTCCACCGTTGTTGTCGCCGCCGCGCCACCGCCGCTTTCTCTTTTGTCTCCACATAAATCTCTTTCTCTCTTGTCTGTTATCTCTCTCGATTTCTCTCTCTTTACACCACCATCGTCTTTACACAGATCTCTACACCACCACAGTCGCCGCTAATTCCCGCCGCCGCGTTCTTCGTCTCCGGGTAAGGCTTTTTCTCTCTTTTTCGTTATCTCTCTCGATTTCTCAGTTTTGTTTTTCAGATCTATCCACCACCACCACCGTCGCCGCCTCTCTCACTCTCGTTTTCGTTCACCGTCGCCACCACCGTTGTCGTCGACTCCCCCTCCCTCTCTTTCGTTATATTTCTATCTCTATTTCTGTATTTTTTTTGTTTCTCTTTTTTTTTTTTCTCCAGATCTAAAATAACAGCATTAAAATGACTATAGTCTATTCGAATATGACTGTTGTTGTCTGAATATGACTGTAGTCATATTCGAATATGAATATTGTTGAATATGATTGTAGTCATATTCAAATATGTTCTATCTTTTCGTTTCAAATTGACTTGTAATAACAATATTCAAATTGTGATTATCTGTGTGGATGTTGTGGATTGTTTTCGTAAACAAAACAATAGGCAATCTTCGTTATTTTACATAATTTGGTAAACATGACTGTACCACAATATATAATCGTAGTTTTAAAATTGAACATGTAGAAACTACAATATAAAGAAAGAATATGACTAGTTGATATGGTCACATATAGTCATATTCGGCATAGTAAACAAGTCGAGAAAAAAAATCATTTTTTTGTTTAAAAAAAATATTTTTATTAGAAAATATTAAAAAAATAATAATTATTATTATTATAAAAATACGAAATAAATCCGAAATAATAAAAAATAAAAAATTGATATGGAAAGATTTGGTAGCAGATTTTACTATGGAAAGATATGGAAATAATAAGTTTTTTTTTCTTTTTTGATTTGGTAGCAGATTTTTTGGAATTTGGAAGCAGATTTTTAGAAATTAGATTGTTGTTATGGAAAGAGAGAGAAAACGATTAATTGATACAAATTATGCTAATTGATATAAGGACAGTATTGGGAATACGATTTCTAGGGATTATCACAAAGAAAAATAAAGATGTAAGGGGTAGACATATCACCATTTCTTAGCTACATGAGGGGCTTATTGCTAATAACGTCTCATATTATTTGTTTCATTTATAAAAAGTTATTTGTACCCTTATATATAAGTCTTATTTACACATATATGTTTCAACTAATTTTAGTATCATTTCTCGTTCACCGCATTCTCTATCGGTAGGAGAAATATACGAAAATTGTCGATAATATCGGTTGGATCTTTCCTTCATATAGAGATTTATGCCGACGTCGTCCAAAGGATGAACAAATATCTTGGAATGCCAGCCTCATTAGGGTGTACAAGGCATGACTTTTTTAGCTATCTACGGGATAGGTTGCGGGCAAAGATCCCTTCTTCTTTTTTCGAGTTGTTTTCTTCTCCCTGATGGGATCTTGAATGACATGGAATCGACCATTAAAAACTTTTGGTGGGTAGTGAAAATGGTAAATACATGGTTTGGCATACTTGGAATCGTTTGTGTATGGCCAAATTCAAAGGTGGTCTTGGTTTGAGAGACTTGAGAATATAATGTTCAATCTTGCTCTTCTTTCAAAGCAAGTTTGGAGGTTCCTCACAAATCCAGATCTTATTGCCAAAATTCTTAAGACTAGGGACACGTTGATCGGCCACTTGGAGAAGCTTACTTAAGGTGCGATGTTTTCTTTCCCAAGGAATTTGCAGACGAACTGGAGATGGTAAAGTACTTCAATATGGGGTGATCCATGGTTACGTAAGGATGGCAATTTTAAGATCTTGACAAGAAGGCCAGCGCACACTTCTTCCCCATACAGGGTTTCGGATCTAATCGATCCTACTTCGGGATCATGGAATGTTAATTTATAAGTACAACTTTTTTTGCCAGTGGACCGTGAGAGGATTTTTCCGCCCCGATTGGAACAGGACATGCAAAAGATGCGCGGGTGCGGCAATATTCTAATACGGGCAAGTTCTCGGCGTGAATGTGCTATCACAATATTTTGTCGAGTGGGCATAATTCAGTAATTGCAAAAATTACTGAAAATAAAGCTCAACAGAAATGTTGTTATAAAATCCTAAAGCTTGAAATCCATCAATCAATACATACCCCCCATGTATCTGGTGGTGAATAATCATATTTCAAAGATGTTTCATTAGACACACACATGTAATAAAGAAAATCAGACAACCGTTCGGGCAAATGGCCGTAATGCGGCAAAAACATCAAAAGATATGTCGCTTTCTTAACATTCAACAAGCAATTGCTAACAATTTTGATACAACAGAAGAAAACTGAGGGAAAAAAAAAGAATCAATGAGAGACATCTTAGTAAAACAAACAAGAGAAGATAGGATTTACTATTCTTAACAAGTATCGCCACAGTTTTGATTCCTCATTCGTAGTCTTCACTAAACAAGTGCTTTACCGGCAATCTTCTAGAAGCATCAATGATATTGTAGAGTGTTTTATGGCGTTTAATGTTTCTCATCTTCGTGTGGACTGAAAGAAAACCAACAGAGAAATAACTGAATTGGTATAATCGAAATTCGGAATCCTATATATGACAATGATAAACTGCAGACAGTCCTTGAACATTGACCTATTTAAAAGAAATAATGACAGATTTCCATCTCGCTCGTTTTTAACTTATTGGCCAACTTTATACTTTTTTTCTAAATGTCTGTCATTTAAGAAAGTTTGCCCATCCTGTTGAAATTATACGCAAAGTATCTCTAGGCATGTAAAATCGAGTAATCAAGTAAAAAGGAGAACAGCAGATGAAAATAAAACTACTACACTTGACTTACCCGAGCTATAGATTGTCAAATTCATCATCCAAATCATCTTTATCGTTATCTGAGAAAGAGAGAAAACACGATCAGCATGCTAAAAAGACGTGACATTCTCTATTCTTGAAACTAACAATTGATCACATGGAGTAATTTTCCGACAGTGAAAATATGACAAACTTATCAAAACTGCCAAATTACAAATCATTTTGAAGTTGCGAACTTATTGCTAAATTAAAATGCACGCTAACTGAAAGCACTTCGAAATATCTATGTTACGTTTCTTAAATAACTTCAAAACTGGAGATTTGGAATTTTCTAGTTTTTATCTTGCTAAGATCTAAGACCTGTTTCTTTGGGTTACCATCCTGTTTGACTCTGCTTCTCTTTCTATCAGAATCATAGCAAAATCAGATATCACATTTCGAAGTTGTGACAAAAATTAAGCCGAGAAACTCATGTTATATTGTTTTCAAAAATACGAAAACTGAAATAAAAACAGATGGTATGGGAAATATTGTTTATCTGAATAGGAATTAAAGCAAATAAAAGCAGCTTAACTCAAGTTAGAATGCAACATAAAAGAGAATGATTTAACAATGCATACAGTATACCTGGACCATCATCACTGTCCTCGATGTCTCCAAGAAGAAATGCGTCCAAATCCTGCTCAGAAGCTGATGATTTCGATTTATTATTTTTAGATTTTGAACTCTCGTCTTCCTTTTCAGTTCCCACACTTGATGAAATTCCCTTCACCTCAGTATCTTTTACGTTTTCAGCTGCCTTGAGATTTACATCTTCTGTGTAGCGCTTTTCGTATCTATAGCAGACTGATAAATTAGATTATTCAACGAAAGATAAAGTAATCCAAGCCACATAAATAGGACGAAGCAGAGCCAAATAGAAGCTTAAATATTAATATTCTATGTAGCATCTTGAGATCCATAACACTAGCATCATCTTAACACCAAAGAAAAGTGAGTCCCTCTTTGGTTTTCAATCTCTGTGATTCAGTACGGGCTTTCGATATGATATATTGCCAACTAATTAACCTATTAGGTTGAATAGGTATTAGACTAGCTAACATTTTCAACAATATGAGCTAGAAATGTGATTTCAAGTCATATAACTGAATCTCACAAACTCATAAATGCAGAAAAAAAAAGATGAACTCCAAAGTCATGTCATATCTGAAATAAAAAACAGAATAGAAAAACCGTTGGAAATTGCCATCCAAATAAAACAAGTTTAGAGTGATTAATAAATTTTTTTTCTTTTTCGACAAAGAAAAAGAAATGTTAACTTCTTCTAAGCATAAAGTTTCCATCAAATATGGATAATCAATACACAAAGTGTCATCTAAAACCATTTCCGAGTTCTGTTTCTAGCACAATCTTAGCTTCAGCAGTACATAAATGAGTCATGCCTTTCGAATCATAGTATCTATATATCTCTCTCTCTCTCTGTGCAGGATGAAAAATTTAGGAACTCTACATATTATCATCGCAATAAGGAGTTGACAATTATTAAAGGAAGCAAATCACAATAAGGAGTGAAAATTATTAAAGGAAACAAATAAAAAGTTAACACTATGAGTTAATTACAGAAAATAATTGAACTCGTGCAAGGGCAAGTTACTTACGGTGCAACATGACTGTTAACAAGAGTGAAATAGATCCTCCAGAACTTCCGTTCTTTCATCACTCGTGGACACAACTGATACCTTAGCTTTGAGATTTCCTGAAAGAAAGCAAAAACTATTACTGTCATTGTGATTCTAAGCACAATTTCAAGTCATTTCAAATTCATTCATATTAGAGAAGGTAAATTACAGAGGCTCCTCCCTTGAGGATTGATTTTAGCTAACAATTTGACTCCTTTTGGTCATTAATTTATCAGAAATTCACTTTTCACATCTTGAACAAATATTAAGTAAATATATGGTCCTACCCTAAGGCTCGATCAGATTACACTTAGACCCCTCGAAATTAAAAAAATATTAACCGAGTCTCCCATTAGATTCGATGTTAGTTAAAAATCCAATCTAAACTTAGTAAATGGCATGTTTACTGTAATTCAATTTTAAGAAAAATTATCATTTTTCTGACATTATCAATACTCAATGAGTTACAATCAAATAGGGCAAGTGTTGACCGGAATTAAACTTTGAGAACAAACTGAGGCATCGTTTGATCTGAAAATCCAAATCTGATATCCTACATGGTAATTTGAGAGGGAAGGGAGAAATTTACTACCCCCTGCATTTGATTTGATAAGTTTGTTAAGGCTCGTTTCCTCTCATAGTCAGTTGCTAGTGCTGCTATTGAGGAATTCCTTGTAATGTCTAATCTCAAAAAACTAGTCAGTTGCTCGTTTTCACTGGTTTCAACCACTAATCATTGTTTATGTCTCGTATAGCACTCCGACATTTCAAACTAGGGCATTAGATTAGACATTAAACAATGCCCTAGTTTGAAATGTCGGAGTGCTATACGAGACTTAAACAATGATTAGTGGTTGAAATCAGTGAAAATAGGATCACTGCTCAAATGGGGGATAACATTGTTTACAACGGAAATTGCAATTTCACGAATTAAACCATTACATTTTGAAGTTGGAACATAGAAACGGAAATAGATGTTGATTATATACGTTACCCTAGGTTTTATATACCGAAAACAGATGTTGATTATGAGCATGTAAAACCTAACCTTCACAGTTGAGAGAACAATCTTGGCATGCTTTTCTTGCCACTGGGTGAGATCCTGTCTAACATTCGAAAGTGTAGGAATATCAGATACCTCTGAGTCATCTGCCATTAAGAAAAATGCTCACTGATATAAGTATTTTACATTCGATGTTGAATTTGATGAATATGATACTAGTAGTGTTAATGGAAGAATCGATTAATTAATTAATTAATTAATTAATTAATTAATTAATGTAAAGTGCTCTGAAATTCACTTTTTTGTTCTTTGATCAAATGATCCAAATGAACCAAATCAAGCATTCATACCTACAAGAGGGAAATCTCTGAAAGTATTGGGAGTAATCCCTTTGACAAACTCCCTCAACTCGTCCGTAATACCGAACATCTCAAGGTCAACGGGCTCGTTGCCGCCTTTCTGAGCGGCATCGACGAGATTGTTCAGGACGACGGCGGGCGGCGGAATCTGTGCCGAGATCTGATCGGCGCGCTTCAGAGCCTCTGAAGCGAATTCCTTGGAAAACTTGGACGCCTCGGCGGCTAACTCCATGGAACGCTTGGAAGCCTCCGATACGACGTCGGAGAAGTTAGCCGAGCCGAGCCCCTGAGTCAGCTCCTGCGATTTCTTCGCCGCTTCCTCCGCGAAGGTCCTTGCTCTCTGCCAGAAATCCATCGCAAATCAGCTTCAATGCCAATCAATTCTACGATGGAATTCGTGGAGGATCTTGTTGATGGATGCAGGGCCGGCCCTAGGGTATGTTACATCACAATTGTTTTTTACACCCAGGGATTTGTTGAAAATTTGTCAGCAATTTGTTGTACACTGTTTGTTGGATGGATCAATATGCTTTTCTTCAGATGTTTCTAAAATGTGATATTTTGTTACAGCTCCTTCAAATTATGATTGCCTATCATAAAATTTTGTTACTGCTCCATATTTAATTTACCTGAGATTTTATTTACTCGATCCATTCCATTTTAATTGTCTTTTTGGGCTAATTTACATATATTAAGAAAACTAATAAATGTTCATGGATTCTACAAGAATCATAATAAAATGACTAAAAAACCACTCGTATTAATTCTCTTTATAGTAATAAAGGCATAGTTGAGAAAACACAATAAATACTTCATTGAAATCCTAAAGTTACAATTATTTTGAAATGAAAAAAAAATCTCTAGAAAGACAATTAAAATGGAATCGAGGGAGTATAATTAAGGGGTTTTTGTGCATAGGTCCCTAACCAAACCTATTTAATGGGGTTTACTATTCATAGTGCGGTTTTTTCCAGCTACAGTGCGAAATAATTCATTTGTCAAAAAACACTTTAATCTTTTACAAAATCCTCTCAATCTCCAAATATTTCGACTTTCGTAGATCGTGATTTGTTTTCGTAGAAATCAGTTAAAACCCAACGATTATCAAGATGGCCAACATCGATCCCGTAAATGAAGTAAAAAATTACGTTTTAGTGTGATTTTTTTCGATTTTCAGTCGTTTCATGTAGAATATCACGAAATTATTCAAGTCGTTTCGTGGTGTTTTGCACGAAATGAACACTTTATTCATGTTTTCCAGTCATTTCGTGTACAATACTACGAAATGATACCTCTTATTTCGTGTAAAGTCACACGAAATAGCAGTAAAACTGTTTTATTATTCATTTCGTGCAGTACTACACGAAATGTATACATAAATTTCGTGTAATTTTACACGAAATACCTAGTATTATTATTTTTTTTTCCCGCAAGTATCTAACTTTTTTTTTTATTTACGCAGCCATATGATGACAATTTGTATTTTGATCCCTCGGTTTTGGATCAAAATGAATATGAAGATTTCTCTCACTTCTTCCAAGTTGATATTGTGTTCGATAGTATGGAAGAATTAATCAACTGGGCCAAAGCAACTGCAGTTAGTCATTGTCACCGTTTGATTTGGCAGCCTTGAAGGGAGAATGCACAGTACTTGACGTGTGACAAATACGGACATGGCCGACAAACGAATATCGATGTGGAAGATCCTAGAAATACTGGAACAAAAAAATGTGGTTGTCTGTTCAAATTGATTGGCAAAAAGTCAAGGTTTGATGAATTATGGCGGTTGACTGTCAGCGATGGTAGGCATACTCATCGTCCGGCTTTGTTTCCTCACGGACAAGGTACGACTAGTCGTATAACTCCACAACAGAAAGCAAGAATTAAAGAATTGCGAAATTCTCACGTGAAGCCAATGCTAATCATGTTTAGATTGAGGAAAGATGATCCGACGATGCAAACATCTATGAAGCATGTTTACAATGAGTTGGCCAAGATTAAATCTGAGGAAATGGAGGGCATGACTGTTATTCAGTTTATGATGCATAACTTTCAAAAAGGCGAGTATCGATATTGGCATCGCGTCGATAGTGAAACGAGCAACACGATTACAGATATTATGTTTGCATGTCCCGAATCTATTAAGTTACTACGGCTGTTCCCGTATGTTATATTGATGGACTGCACATACAAAACCAATAAGTAAGTAAAAATTACGATTATTTAAATTATGATTATTGTGTTTTAATGTATTGTATTGTTTAAATATGTAAAAATAACATTGTTGTAGGTATGCTATGCCTCTTTTGGAAATAATTGGGATAACTCCAGTTGGGAGGAATTTTACAATTGATGTTGCATTTATGTCGCATGAAGATGTAGACACTTACGAGTGGACTTTGAATTGTTTGAAAGAGTTGCTAGATGGTGTCGAACCTGATGCGATCTTGACAGACAGGGAGTTGGGTCTTTTGAAAGCACTACCAAATGTCTTCCCATTTTCGTATCATATGTTGTGTATATTCCATATAAACAGAAATGTTGAGGCAAATGCAACGAAATTTATGGGAGGTAACAAAGACCAAGGTCTAATATTTCGACGTGTGTTGTGGGCTAAGCTGGTGAAATCAGAAACCGAAGAAGAGTATCATTACAATTACAATGAAATTGTTGGACGGTATGCAGGGTATCCTAGACTGATACAGTATTTGAATGATACGTGGTTGATATACAAGGAGAAGTTTGTTCGAGCCTATACTCACAATGTGTATCATTTTGGCAACACGAGCACCAACGGGTATTACATGTTTTAGTTATTTAAATGATCAAGTATATTATATTAAAATAATATTTATTTTGTAATTTGACTGTCGTTGTATGCTTTAATTGTTGTTGTAATTGGATAGGGTGGAGAGTGCTCATTCTTCAGCGAAGGGTTGGTTAAATGCTTCGACCGGAGGTCTGGATAACATGCAAGGCAAACTTCGACCAAGTTTATATCCAAATTAGTCAGCTGAAGTGCGATTTTTCATTATCATCCAAGATAAGGAAACATATTGCAGCATGGCCGTGTTTTCAGGGTTTGATTTGTTATGTTACGCATCTGGCATTAGAGAAATTGGATCAAGAGATGGAGTCCCCGGCGATGCAAGATCCGAGTATTTGCACACACTATCTTTGGAGTACTCATGGGCTCCCATGCGCGTGCAAAATTGTGCAGAAAATGGAAGATAATGACACGTTCGTCATTTCAGACTTGCATCCATTCTGGAGTACCATGGCAGTTGAGCCTTCGGAGCTACCTGAGTATCAAGTAAACCGCGAGGAGATTGTGGATAGACAGATGACCTGAATTGCAATTTGAAGAAGATGAATTACACAAGTAAGATAAATGTCGTGGCCTCATTGCGTGGCATCGTTTATCCGTCTACGTCGCATCTGTCCGAGCCATCATTTGTTAAGACCAAAGGACGACCAAAGAATAACTCGACAAAGAGAGACCCTTCCGGATGGCAATATCATATTGATGAGAAGATAATTAAGTCGTCTTGTGGTTCCAAGGGTCGCCAAACCTCATCTGGTGCAAAGATTCCTATAGCAAAGGTTGAGAGAAGCACCGATGGAACGCCTCAATCGAAGATGAAAGGTCGTGGTTCTCGTATTCCCACACAAGAATCTGCTGCCCCTACAATACCTGCACATGAAGGAATCGACTTTTATTCTTTCGTGCCCAGATTTATGGTCCGTCTTATTCAAGATTATGTTAACGTGATGGCGGATGGCAACTGTGGGTACCGGTGCATTGCTCAAGCCGTGTACGGGGATCAAGAAAGATGGCCGCAAGTGAGAGGGGAGTTGCTTATTGAGTTATACGAGCATGCTAATGTGTACACGGCGATGTTTGGCAGTACCGGATACGTTGAGGTCATACGCAAGTGTGACTGGACCTCAGGGCCTTGTCCACAAGCTTATTGGATGGATATGAATGAAATGGGATTGGCCATTGCTACCAGATACAGTGCATTAGTGGTACTTTTGACTCAAGTAGGGAGTATGACTTACCTTCCTATGTTTGGCAGTGGTCACTTATCATGTATGATTGTTGTGACATTGCACAACAATCATTTCATGTTTGTTAATTTGGTCGCGAATAGTCCTCTACCACCAATCCATCCGGCATGGGTACACCATAGAGCTAAAAACCTGAGGCACTTACTCAAAATGTACAAACCCCGACTACTCTTGTACGAACAATTAAAGTCTGGTCGGTAGTTCAATTTGTAGTTGTATTTGAATTCTAGTTCAATTTGTATTTATATTTGAATTTTAGATCAATTTGTAGTTGTATCTGAAATCTAGTTGAATTTGTATTTGTATTTGAAATTTAGATCAATTTGTAGTTGTATTTGAATTCTAGTTCAATTTGAATTTGTATTTGAATTTGTAGGTCAATTTGAGTGTCTGAAATAAATTGATTAATTAAAAAAACAAATCAATTAGTGATTTCGTACTGAATTTCACGAAACATTGCATTATATTTCGTGGAACAATCTACGAATTGTAAGGTACAATTTCGTGGAAAACTCCACGAAATATGTTGTACAATTTCGTAGGTTTTGTCACGAAATACACGATTTTTTTCAATCCAACAGTTTCGTCCCTCGTGTTTTATATCGATAAACACTTATATTTCGTGTAAAAATACACGAATTTATTGAGTGTATTTCGTGTAATAATACACGAAATAGCGGGCGAATTTGTTTTTTTTTAGGAAAGTTACAAATGAAATAAATCGCACTGCAAGGCGGTAAAAGTTGCACTATGAATAGCATTTCAGTATTTAATTTACCTTATATTTTATTTATAATTTAGGGGAGTTTTGTGCATAGATCCCTAACCAAAGTATCTTTATTATTCTATGTTTAAGGTTATATCTCTTCCAATAAACTCATCCATTTAATATCTTATATCTTATATGGCGGCGGTTATATGCAAGTCCATTTTTTTATTAGTTCAAGACCTCCAATATAAAAATACTAATTTACCCTTAATGAAATTTAAAATCAAATAAAAAACACAAAACATTAAAAAATATAAATAAAAATCATTTTCTTTGTGCAAGACCAAATAAAATACATAAATCCAGAAACCCCTCTTCCTTATTTCACGACTTAAAACTCTCATTCTTCTTCTCTTTCTTCTTCACAAACCCACCAAGAAATCCTACACACCAAAATTATCAAATACATACCAAACATTGACGATGGAACCAGAAAACAATGATATGGTGGTTTACGAGGGTGGAGAACACAATGAAATATGTTTTAACCGTTTATTTTTGCTTTTGGGTCGTTTTTTTTTTATTGGGAAAAAAATTCGACGATACCAAAAATCGGTCTGCAAATACCGATTTTTGTTACTAAAGTCGGTAACCACATTCCGATTATTTTAATAAAAATCGGTACTTAAAAACCGATTTTTGTAGTAAAAATCGGCATGACAACACCGGTTTGTTTTTGTATTATCGGTATTGTCATGCCGACTTGTACTACAAAATTCGGTTTTTAAATACCGATTTT